CGCTCTTGCACTGCAATGCAGCAACCTGGATGTTCTGCAGAGGCTGTAAGGCTGATGTGCACCTCCTGCCATCATAGTCCTCTGCTCAGGTGGGATAGCATCAGCTTGGCTCTTGCACATGCAGAGGAAGAAAGAGTAGATAGCTGCCAGTGGGTGCTGGTGTTAATAACTAGGCAAGGGTTAATTACCTGCAATTACTGGCAGCAGCTCCCTTCCTCTAGGACCGGGGAGCCAAGCAGACTGTGTCTGCTGAGCCTGTGTCTCACTGCTGTTGTTCCACCTGAAGGTCAGCAGGCAAGATGGTCATGCCATCCAAATGAATGGTCTCACCCGAGCTTTTACCGAGGCCTGGGGCTGGGTTGCACTAAGCCATGGGCTCAGTGGGTGCCTACCCTAAACAACTATGCCTGCCACAGACAGCAAGCTGCTCTCTGAATGGAAAGTTACTTGGTTTAAATAGAAGTGATTGGGTATCCATGGATACTTTTCTGAAGACAGACACTCTTTGCTTGAATTCAAATAGATGGAGAATGGGCGACAGGGGTGTTGCACAAGGGGAGAAAATCCTAAAGAGGATCACACTTTTAAAGCATTAGAAAGGGAGAGGTTGGGCAGTGGGATAATTCTCCCAGTGATACCTACTGAGAGAAGAGAGGACTTCTGGCATTTTTCAAGGCACTGCGGTTCTGTTGCCACAACATTAAGCACTGAATATTTCATTTCAGGATTAACTGTCCCTGCAAGTACAGCTTTTTGGATGAAAACAAGAGGCCGACTCCCTGGCGGGATGTACCATCCTACCCAAAGGTACCACGCAATGTTTGCCCTTCCCAGAATCCTACCACATGTTTCCATCCTGACAAGTGTTGGTTTACAATGCATGATTCCCTAGCCATCTACCTCCTGGTTATTCTAAACCCAGAGCCTGATCCAAAATCCCTGAAAGCCAATGGAAAAACCTGTCATTGCCTGCAGTGACTTAAAGTTGGATCCTCAGTAGTCTTTAATACTTGAAAGCTCGTTAGTGTTTGAAATGTTAATGAACATTTTGCATTCGTCAACATTTAGTGCTCTTTTGTCTAGTTATATTTGTTTATTCTCCATGCTCGTAGCAAACAATCAAAAATAGCCTATAATGTTGTACTGTAATTGAAAATAGTGCCGCTGCCTGTTTTCTCCTAATGGATTATTTTTTAATTTAAAAAGTAATTTATGGAGATGCTTCACCTAGGGAAACAAAGAGAAAATGCGACATTGGATTCTCTCCAGAATGATTCATTGTCCCTGTGAAAATGAGTTAGTGTATTTGCTAGAGAAAACAGTAATGCTTGAAGAAAAATGTCTACTGGGCAAGTACAAGTACAAATCCACAGTGATGAATGAGGCTGAAACCATGAAGCACACAGGATCTTTGGTCCTAGCACCGACAGTCTTTGCCGACAGGAATTATTCAAAGCTACCAGGTTATACCTGCTCAGAGCCCAGCTCACACACATGCAAATCGTAGTTTAACAGTGAGCATTTGCCTGCACACATCAAAGCTGGCTGAACCACTCTCAAATTCACTTGGTCCGGTGTGATGCGGGTGTATGATATGGACACGCATCCTGATATATTTGTCTTCAGGGCCTTACAGAACAACAAATTATAAGTTCTGCTGTTTATTCTGCTCTGCCTAGAAAAAGTGACCTCTAGGTCTCTGAAGCAGACATCATGAGACTTACATTTCTTTTAATTAATTTTTGCCCAAGAGGCTTGTGCTCCTGATGCTAATACATGTTTTCACAAAACATATCAGTTCTAAAAATTATTTTTTTCCCTTGGTAAGTATCTATGTCACATCAACCTTCGATCTACTGCTGTGATATTAGGATCTTGGATTAATAACAAGTGCAATGAAGAGTTGTACTGCTTGACTGCAGAGTAAACTGGTAGTCTGTGTTGTCCCTAGACCAAAGCTCATAGAAGTTTTGGTTTCAGGAGTTTGGGTTCTGTTTGACAGATTTGCAAAATTTGTTATCAGTTGTCAAGTGCTGGATTTGTCCAATATCAGGGAGGCCAGGAAGTGATGAGTACACTGAAAGAAGATGTCATTACAACACGGTTATCAAATAACAAATCTGTACTGCTAATTCACAGATTTCTTGCAGAATGTCATATTAAATGTACATTATATAGGCAAATGCAAAAATCGTTGCCTTCTCAAGAAGCAAAATTAATCTTCAGTGTTATTCTTCTTTGGATTAAGTGTCAACAATTTGATGGCACATACAATTTCATTCACCTGCTTAGTACACTAAGCCCAAACTAATTAGAGACAGCCATGGTAAATGGGCCAATTAAAGCTACAAGGTTTTTGTGTCCCAGAAAGACTCTGATCAATAGAGTCTCGAAAATATGATTCGGTAGAGTCCAGATCTCTCCTGGTCTTTTAACCCTCCCCATTCCTTTTTTTTCATTTTGTATAAAAATCATAACTGGCCAATGAGCTTGATTTTGTTTTAAGCCTCCAAGCACAACGACAAAACATCACTTGAATCTTGCAGGCTGAAAACCAATTTGAAAATGTGGGCATTCTTGAAAAAATACTCAAAATTAGAGTATAAATCATCTGAAAGTAAATATATCATACCCACCAGCTAATTTAATGCTGTAACCATAGACACTTCACACCACTCAGCCATGACTGGCTGCACTGAATGTTGCTGATGCTCTGCAGGCAGCAGAAGCAGTGCAGCCAGGGATGGATCTGTGCCCTGCACCCCTTACATCCCCATGCTGGATCTACCTGCAACCCCATCCATAACACCTCCCTTTTCTCCCAAACCCAACACCTCCCTGCTCCCTAAGGATCTCCACCCACCAGCGGCCTGCCAGCTGGTGCTGTGGCAGGCAGCGAGCTGCCTGGGGGCTTGCTGCTTGCCAGGTGTGGGCATCCTGGAGTGACCATGAGCAGCTGGTGGGGTGGGAAAGAAGAGTTGGGCAGGCAGAGGGAGAGATCAGTTGCTCTGTCCTTGGGAAATACTGCTAAACCCCACGTGAATGGGACCCCAGGTGTCCCAGGGACATGCCGACAGCAGGTCCCATGCCGAGGCTGCGGACCCTCATTTACACCGACTGCCTTTTTGTCTGCAGTACATGCTGTCCCAGGAGACCATAGAAGCACTTCGGAAACCAACCTTTGATGTCTGGCTGTGGGAGCCCAATGAGGTAAGGATGCCGTGTTAGCTGGGTTAGCACTCTTTCTGGGAGCCAACAAGGCCAGAAGAGCCATTTGAGATGGTCTGCAGGGTTTTTCCCCTTTTCTGCCCCTTAATCTCTATATTTTTTTTTATTTTCATATCACACCAGAATACAGTACTTTTTCCCTAC